CGAGTGCGGCAAGAACTACAACACCAAGCTGGGCTTCAGGCGACACCTGGCCATGCACGCGGCTGCCAGCGGTGATCTCAGCTGCAAGGTGTGCCTGCAGACCTTTGAGAGCACCCAGGTCCTGCTGGAGCACCTCAAAGCTCACTCCAGGCGGGCGTCCGGCGGGGCGAAGGAAAAGAAGCATCCGTGTGACCACTGCGACCGGCGCTTCTACACCCGGAAGGACGTGCGGAGACACTTGGTGGTGCACACGGGCAGGAAGGACTTCTTGTGCCAGTACTGTGCTCAGAGGTTTGGGAGGAAAGATCACCTGACCAGGCACATGAAGAAAAGCCACTCCCAGGAACTGCTGAAGATTAAGACGGAGCCGGTTGACATGTTGGGTCTGCTCAGCTGCAGCTCCTCTGTCGCAGTGAAGGAAGAGCTGAGCCCCGTCCTGTGTATGGCATCCAGAGACATGATGGGTGGTAAGAGCTTCCCTGGCATGCTGCCTGTGGGCATGTACAGCACGCATCTTCAAACCATGCCAAGCTCAGGCATGCCCCATTCTTTGGTTCCTAATTCTCTTCCAATGGGAATGAGCTATCCTCTGGAGTCTTCTTCTCCCATCTCCTCCCCACCGCAACCTCCTCCAAAGTATCAGCTTGGATCTACCTCATATTTGCCTGAGAAACTACCCAAAGTAGAGGTGGACAGCTTTTTGTCAGACTTCCCTGGCAGCCTGTCTCTCTCATCTGGTGAGCCTCAGTCCTCTTCGCCTCAGCCACCTGCCCTGGACGAGGCTTTGCTTTCCAAGAGCCCTGCTAACCTCTCAGAGGCTCTCTGTGCTGCTAACATGGACTTTTCTCATCTTCTTGGCTTCCTCCCCCTAAATCTTCCTCCTTGCAATCCACCTGTATCGTCGGGGGGATTGGTCATGGGCTACTCGCAGGGGGAGGCGCAGCCACTGCTCACCACTTTGCAACATCAACCTCAAGAGTCTCCCGGAGCCGGGGCCTCGCTGAACTTTGGGCCCCTTCACTCACTGCCCCCCGTCTTCACCTCCAGCTTGAGCACAACCACGCTGCCACGGTTCCACCAGGCATTCCAATGAGCTGGAAATAGCACTGGAGAACAGATCTTTCAGCCACCCTTTTGTGGAGACGGAGAGCCTTAAAAACGCACAACTCTTCCTTCCCTGGGGGTGTGAAAGCTCTGCAGAGCTGGGTCAGACGGGAGGTTTCTGATCTCGGAGGGAGCACTTGTAGACTGGAACAGCTGATATCCCGTGTGAGTCCCAGTCCTGTACAGAGGAAAGATTTCAGCTAATAGACTGGATATATTTTATCTAATTTTTAATCTGTGAATCAGGAGCCGCGCTTAGCACTGACCTTCCCTGAGAATCCTGGAGCTATGTTCCTCTCTGGGAAGGGACTGTCCCTGAGAAGGAGCTGAGGCTCTTTCATCTTGGGCTAAACTTTTGAAGAGTCCAGCTTCCATTTCATGTTATCACACTGCAATTCTGGCAAACCAGCCAACACCTCCACATGGAGAAGAAGTCAGGATACCCTCTCTGTATGAAGCCAATGGGGAAGAGGCTGTCCTTCCCCACTACCTCTCATCCCATCACCCAACACAGCTTACTCCACATCAGTGTTAAGCAACAAGCCCGTTTACATAGTGAATTCAGCGTGGTCACCTCATTCTTCTTCAGGAGCCATTAGGTTAAACTCGTTACAGTGAACGTTGTTTACACAATACAAATCTGTTTCTGCCAGCCATTACAAAAATAGGAGGCACCAGAATACACTGGGTTCATCTCTGGTGTAGCTAGAACACTGTTTACACAACGAAGTCAGGTTGCACTGATTTCTCTTCACTTACCATGTTCTTCCCCCATGGGGAAATACACTGCTTTTGGACCACTTCAGCCTCTGCCCCTGTAGGCAGCAACTTCCCACCTTTTCATGCTGGCTGTTCCATGTGAAGGGGATGGAGCAGCTCTCACAGCTTAGCTTGGTGTGTGGTGTATGGACAGAGCCCTCTTAAATATCTCCTCCAGGAAAAGAGATCTGGAAACCAAAGCATGTGAGAGAGCTGGGTGAGGAGCTCAGGACATCGAGCACTGGCAGACCAGGCGTGGGTGAGAACAGGCTGCAGGCCCTGCTCCCTGGGTTTCCTTGGGATGAGGAACAGAGTATGAGCTTCTGGGGTTTGGGGTTATTTACCATAACCATTCAGCGAGGTCAGCACCCTTTTTGGCTTATCCAGGAAGCAGTCTCGAGGTATATTTTGACCTCAATGGTGGTAACATCCAGAAATCGAGGAAAAATTGGTTCCACCTTCATGTGCACTCTGTCAGTGTATCTGAAGCATTTTCCCCAACACCAGTAGTTCTAACAGATGCTAAGGGTTTTGGCCTGCAGTCACCCTTTCACTTTGGATTTGGTTCCACTGGCCTTTTTTGTTCTCCTTCTCGAGCCTTCCCTCCTGAAGTTAAAAGTCCTCTATCCCTTGCTCCCTGCCCCACCTCTTAAACTCTTCCACGGGCTGACTGCCTACCAGGGCAGAAGGGTTACACTGGGAAGTGGCAGCCAGCTACTGATGTCCTTTAGCATCTGTATTGTCTCCTGCTCCCCTTTTCCTGGGCACTTGTACTGCAGATGGGGACATACGGAGGTCACTCACTGTGCATTGATGCATGTTGATGTCTGTGGACAGGGAGATCTTCATACCTCAGCATGGGGGAACCATTGTAGGTCAATATAAACCAGGAAATCTGTCAATATTGTTCTCCATAAATCTAGAAGATGCAAAATCTACCTCTACTCTGTTATCTCCTTGGGCAAAGCCAGATGCTGTCCTCCCTCACCTCCCCAGAGAACATCCCCTTCAGTCGATGCAGATTCCTTCCTGCTGAGCCATGATCCCACCGTGTGACATCAGCCAGGCCTCATTTGGTCACAGGCTTGTCCCTCTTCTGTTTTACTCCAGAATTTTATTTTTAATTTAGCTTAGTAATTCTTCCCAGAATGACTCTTTAGCGATCCATTGATTCTCCAGAACATAGATCGGTTGTTTTAGGTTAGCCAGCAATGCTGCAAATAAGACTTTTGTATCAAAATGTAATATAAGATTTATTTACCTCAGCAATATCCTGTGGCAATGATCTCCCCGAGTTGAATGCAGTACTTTTTTTCCTTTTCTCCACTGGAAAATGTTGCCTTTCCAAGTCCAATGAGTGCCTTCTTGTTCTCTAACCTAGCAAAGGTAAACAGGGCATTGCAGCCAGTCTGTTTACCAGCATTGAATACCTCAGGCCTGTCTTCTATTGCTTTGCTCTTTGCAAATTAAAAGAGTTTCACACTGTTACCAATTATATGCAAGCCTTATCCCTGTCTTGAGTTGAGAGGATTATTATTTTTTTGAGAAATAAATGGTCAGAACTGATCACTCACTGCCAGTGAGGATTATCAGATTTATGCAATGCCATCACACACCTTCACCCATGCAGAACATTCAGCTTTCTTGCTTTCTGCCTGCATTGTACTCTGAACAGATGTCATCACTGGAATTCCTTTAGCAGTGGTAGCTAAACTTAGAGCCAGGCATCTTTTTCCTACCAGTAGTCTGTCAAAGAATAAATGGAATTCATTTTGCTATGATTTGCACGTGTGATTTGCTTTCCACAGCTACTCTAACAAGCAGAACTGCCATAACCTTTGTCAATGCAAGGGGAGTCTAACCCAGCAAAGGCAGCATGTCACATACAGCACTGGAGCTGATTTCCAGGAAAACGAATTCCAAGTTCCTGTTCCACAACAGAGTTTAATCTGCACGTATTTTATCAGCCAGCCTAAAACCAATGAGACTAATTCCATTTGAAATAGTGACTGTGCAATTCACAGAACAGATTATATTATAATTAACTTTTACCTGTTCATAAGAGAAAACTTTGAGCATCTGAGCTACAGCACTTGAGAATCCCAGTCCATTAGGAAGTATGTACCAAGCTATTAGGAAAACCAGTGGAAGTCAGCTTAGCCAAGCTCCTGCCAGTGCAACTGGAGGTAAGGGACAAGGGTAACTTTGGCATGCTGTGAGGGGGATTGCTGCAGCACAGCATGCAGTCTGTTCTGTGGTGTTACGTGCAGGGCTTTGTGCATGAGGCAATGGCAGACACTGTGCTGGTTATGTGATATAAAAAAAAGCTTCATCCCACGAAGAGTTTGGTTTTGGTTTTTGTTTGGTTTGGGGCCAGGACGTGGCTGTGAGTCAGCCCAGCAGAGCCCTGTGAACCACTGCACTGTGATCTCTGTTCCTGGCACACCTGTATCACAGGTGGCATCAGACGGACCCCAAGAGGAGTGACTACAGCAAGTAATTGGTCAGGAGGGTTTAGTTAAATAAATATTTTAAAGTGTGGCTGACTTGGGGGATGTCCAAGAGCGATATGAACCATCAAGACTGCACTATATTTATATTTATAATATATAAACCCATAGAGCTCCAGTCAGCAAAAGGACAGCATATGAACTTGCCAGCCTTTATAAATCAGACCCCAGATTCTCAAAAAGCAAAGGACTTAATGTCCCACTACTAATAATGATTCCAGCTCCCTCACTAGCAAATAGCCAAGCCAAGCCATTCCCTGGCAGCAGAGGGTTAACTCACCTCACCTGTCCTTCCAGGCTCAGATTGCCAGAGCCCTGTGAAAGGCTGAAGATCTTTTCCCCCACGGGATTACAGCTCACTCAAAATCCATTTGTAGGAAGGCACAGCACGTTATCTTGCATTTTCTTCCACTGAATTTCACTTGACAGAATACCCACACACCGTGTTGTGACAGAGCCCGTTCTGTGTCTCACAACAGCACTGCTCTTTACCCTCAGTGTTGAAAAATGGTGTCACTTCAACTGGAATCCCTTTTCTCCCTCCAGTAGATTGATGATTTCAGTACTTTTGTTGTGAGCTCAGCTCTTTGTTCTTTAATTCCTTCCTTGCTGACAGGTGAATAGCAGCTGCTGGGAAGATTTCCTGCAGTTCACTGAAAAAAAATCCCCGTTTCTTTTCTCTGCCACTGCACCACCTTTGCTGTCGGGACAGAACAACCCCGAGGAGGCATTTTCTGCTGCCTGCAATTAAAATTTCCACAAAGAAATCTTCAAAGATGCTTTTCCCATCACCCGACCTTCTTGCTTATCCCCTCTAATCCCGGTTAGTCAGGCTGACTGAATTCTCCCTCAGGTGCCTATTTTTAGTTAATTGCCTGCCCAAGCCCTGGAGATATTCTGCCACCAGAGTGAGGTGGATGAATGGCTCAAATAGAACCACTTTAGGTTTCCAACCTCATCCCAAAATTTGCTTCTTTTCCATAACTTATTTCTCATATTTTTCCCAGTTCTCAGAGATGGGCATTGCCTTGTGAAGCTCTGAATCCCACCCTGCCCGACCCCAGCGTGGTAGGAGAAGGCAGTTTGGTTTAGCCTGATCTACTGGACCAGGACTGGCAAAACCTGGGCTCTGTTTTCACCCTGATCCCCAGCCCTAGCACCTCTCACCCTTTCTGTGCCTGTTTCCCTGTAAGAGGCCACAGCCATACCAAGCCTCCCCTGGGAAGCAGCTGGAAGCTGTCCAGGGAGCACTGTTACCACTGTTACCACTGACCCAGCTTCCTTACAGGACCACTGTTCCTGCTCCCCACCATCACCACGTCCCTGGTGTGAGCAGACCCCTCTGCTGTCCCTGCTGCACAATCCATGCATGTATCGGGCTCACCTCTGGCTATTCCCTGCACCCAGGGGCAGACTTGCTTCATTCTGCTGAATAACTGGAATCCTTTAGGAATCCTTCCACATGTTTCAGCCATTCCTGTGGCTCCAGGTAAGGAGTCTTCTCCCAGAGTGCACTCTGCAATCTACCAGCTCCACATGTTCCCACAGACCACTCGCCACTAAACGCTTCAGACTGGCACAGGAAAAAAAATGGAACTGGTGATCAGAAATGAGACCAGAAAACAGACCACATTCTGCTTCTCACAAATCCACACCAGGAGATGAGCTCGGCTTTCCTGTCCAAAGTACATTCTATTTCCATGTGCACAGGAAGGCTCCAGGAGGAGCCTCAAACACCTTCTTCACTGTGTGCTCATGGCTGAACCTTGGTCTGTGCTGTCTTTTCCACCAGTGCCTAAGTATGAGCATGCACAAAGTACATACATGACACAGAGGGAGCTTCTCTGTATCAGGAGATCACAGGGACAAGGAAAGTTAAAGGCATTGGCAAATGATTAAAAAATAGGGAATTTGGAATCTGGGGTTTTTTATACTATTAAATAGGTCAGTTCTTCATTTCCAGTTAGGGGAAGAACCCCCAACATTAAAGTGTCTCATTAAAAACCAGCTGTCCCTCACTTTCACAGCTCTCTTCACCTTCAGTCTCACCCTCTGATCACAAACTGTGTCTTTGTTTTAAACTACTATGCAAGTGGATAACCAGCTCTACCACAGAATGTACTGAGTGGGCAGGGGACGGCTCCAAAGCCTGTGGGACAGGGACAGACACACCTCTGTCATCCAGGTGAACAGACCACAGACCTGCCTGCAGCCCTTTTCCCTCTGTAGTCAGTGTCTTGCACTTGAAGGTAACACAAGCTTTGCTCATGGTCTTCAGCAGCAGCCACTTCAGGGTCAGCAGAAGGGTGCAGGAGCCTGCAAACTCCAGCACATCCCATAACTTCTGCTAGAAGCCTCTCTGGAGTTTGTGAGATCTCCTCACCCTGCTGAGTGCCTCAGCCTTGATGCTTCATGGGATTTTCCCACTCATACCTAGGAACAATTTTTAGAAAGGTTGTTTTGTAACATGTGTACCAGTGTTTTTCTTAAATGAGGATACTGATGAAGAACACAAGAGCTGTCTGCTGAAGTGCTCCAGGAGGCACAAAAAGGAACCTGTGGAACCACGAAGACTCACCCCTGGAGCAGCTGAGCTCCAAAACTGCTGCTGGAGGAAAAGCTACTGAGCGACTTTTGCAACCACAAGTCATTTTGAGAACCCTCTCCCAGGCACAAGCTCTGCCATCTGCCCCATGAGCCAGTGGACATGCCCTTGGAAGGTGAAGGGTTTGGGGATTAGCCCTGGGACTGGGTGGAAGAGCCATGGTCTCCCTCCCTGAGGCTGCTGTTCATGCTGTCCCTTCTTGTGCTGGATCTGGACAGGCCCTGTGCCTGACCTCCCTCCCTGCAGCTACAGCTGCCAAAGCCAGAAACTTCCCATTGTTAAAGCTCAATTGGTTTTCTAAAAACAAACTTTCTAGCACTTTTACACACAGTGAATTAACCTCTTTTAATGGAGTATTTTGGGGGCTGTAAACAAGGTTTTTAAATTGTAATTAAGTGCCATTAGGAAACATAAGGTTCATCACTAAAATTAGCTCTTGCAAATGAAGCTCAAATTGAAAGCATTTTTTTATAATGAAGTTGTTTATTAAAAGCATTTGGATGATCTGCCCCGGGCATCTTCTTGGGGAAGAATTGGGCTTTGGTTGGTTTAAATAAAGACAGAATGGTAAAGCAGGTCAAAGACCCAGTTCCCTGCATGAAGCCACACGGGTTTGTCTTTCAAGCAAAGAATTACACCCCCACAAAAAAAGACCCAGCACCCCCCTGGGGATGCAGCCACAGCCAACACCATAATCCCCTGTCAGGAGGATAATGTTTGTTAGACAGAAAGTTCTGGTCACTTGGTTTCACTAGAATTTCCAGCTCATGTGGCAGCATTTCAGACTAGTCCAGCCCACACCCCCTCCCAAATAACCCCCACGTGCTCCACTCCCCAAGGGCAGAAGAACCAGGACCAAACCTTAAGCTGCAGGCACCAGCAAGCATTTGGAGATGAAAAAGGGTGAAGCACACCCTCCCCTCTTGGGATTCTCCTTCAGAACACAGATTAAAAGCTGACAGCCACAATCAGTGTTCAGGTGCTTTTCTCTAGGTACGATCTGGTTTTCATTCCTAAAGCAGCTGCTGGTGAAACGTGCCCTTTCCTCAGCAGCTTTCCCCCGGAGCTGAGGGCTGTGACAGGACATGAATACACTCAATCTGCCAAAAAATAAGAAAGAAGTTCAGCACAGATCGTCCTGTTGGTGGAGCTGAAGCTTCCTTTGCCTTTTTTTAAAGGGAAAAGGGACTATTCTGATGATTTCCAAGTTTTGATTCAAGCATTTGCCTGCTCTGGTCTCGGTCACAGACATTGAGCAGCCCCTGACACTGGCACCTCCGTAACCTGGGGGAAGCACATTCATTGCTCTGCTGGGCAGAACCTCTCAGGAAAGGGGATTTCACTTTCCCTCCCTCAGGCAGCATTCCAATGGATGCTGGCTGCTCTCCTGCCATGCATTCCCCCAGCAAAACACACAAGCTCTGGGAAGCCATGGACGACAATGTTGAAGGCTCTGCTTCCACAGCACCAGTACAAGTCCAAACTCCTGTTTGGAAGGAAATGGCAGCTCCATTCTGAGCTGTCCTCTCACTTCTGCTGCTCAAAAGCACCATGTATCTGTCCAGCACTGCCATCCAGCAGTCCTGCTGCTCTTCCCATCATTGCTACACACATCAAATAAGGTATCTCACACGAGAGACAAGTTGCTCAAGGGATTTTACCCTGCAGCACATCCAAACGCCTCGACTGGTGGCACAATTACAATATATGGCAGCATTCAGGACATGCCACACTGAGAGAAACATACTGCTCCAGTCAAGTTTACCAGGAGAAAAATATTGCAAAGAAAACTGAAGTATTCCAAGCTCTGCTTTTGTCTGAAGCCACACGTCACAGACCACGCGGGTGTCGAACAGGCCAAGTGTTACAAAAGGAAATTCTCCAGAGGTGGCTTAGGAGAACCCAGGAGAGCAGGATGACAGGACAATGGCAGATTTATTTACAATAGGACACAAAGAATACATACATTAATTAAAAATTACAAAGAATACAGAGAAAACAGTTCAGGAAAGGGAGAGAAATCAATGCTGGCTGAGCCTCTCCACTGGGGCAGGGGCAGAAGAAAAAAAAAGGAAACAAAAAACAACAAACCAATCAAAATCTCAGAAAAGGACCTCAAATCAGAACTGACACAGGACTCCACAGCACAGCTGGCTCACGCATCCCCTGCGCCCTTTTTCCATCCATGATTCCTGGCTGATTGGACTTTGGCATGATGAGCAAGGCTGATGGGAAGGGACGTGGGCCCTTGCGTGGACCTGGTGAAAACTCATGGCAATTAGGGTTAAAAAGAGCCCCAAAGCCCTCAAGGGTGCACATCAGTGCTGGGAGCAGGGAGGGCTTTGGACAGTTCTGGGTAGAAAGAGTGTGACCTGTGGCAGCTGGTCATCAGGAGACCTTACTACAAGAAGCAAAACTTTCTTAGATCTCACTAAAAAAACCTCTCCCCTGTAGCCCTGACTGAATCCAGCTAGTCTGGGGATGTAGGGAGTCTGCACTGCAATGTGGAACCTTTTTTACTGATAAACATCATTGAAGTGACCAAAATAAAAAACAACTTTAACCTCTTTTAAAAAGAGCTTCCTGTGGGCCAATTCAGGCATCAAGCCATGTGAAAAGAGCCCACATCAGCTGTCCTGGAGGGCTTGGACTGGTTTTTGTGGAGAAGAACAAAGTACAGCTTAGGGGCATACACTTTTCCTGTTCCCTGGAGGTAGAGAATTTCAGAGGAGGAGCAGAGAGCAGCGAGGGTGGCCGGCCCCAGAGGGAGGGCTGGCAGGGAGACAGCCCCACTCTCAGGCCATAGGAGAGCTCCACAGGGCCACCTGCTCTGTGCTCAGCCCCTTCAGCAGGGCCTGCACACCCCTCAGGCAGCTCAGGCCCAGCACTGCCTCAGATTGCTTGGCACTGACCCTGCAGAAGTGTCTCCGCAGGCTCTGCGTGATTCCGGCAGCGTTCCCAGGATGGAGCCTGCCCCATTTCCTCATGCATATGGAGCAGAACTATTGACAGAAAAAACCCTTGTAGGTACCTCACACATCCTTCCAGTCCTGTATTCCAGCACAACCACGGACGTTATATCCTGCCTTCTGAAGGAGAGGCAATCCCACCCTCCCCTCAGCCCTTCCAGCAGAGGCATGCGCAGCGGCCCGTGCTGTCCGAGGCTGGAGGGGGGGAGCAGCGATGCCGAGGGTTGCAGTTGTCAAGCTCTCTCAGGGTGAAATTGCACTTCCCAGGCTCCAAATGGCACCTCCAGCAAATTGTAAACAAGCCGAAGCCAGGACTTCGGTGGTCGGAGCACACCGGACTCCCGCTGGGTGAGCCTTTAGGCTCCGGTTATTTTGCCATAGTCAAGCTCCCTCTTCTGTGCAGACACGAAGGCAGGAGAAAAAACGCAGTCTGATGCTCATCTGAAGAGTCTCCCTGAATCCTAGAGCACCCCAGGGGCTGGAAGAAAACGTTTTCACAAGTGTTTCTACTGCTGTTTCAAATCCATTCGTCATCAACATAAAAAAAAAAAAAGGATGAATTAGCAAAAAGGGGGTTTTACTTATACAGAGGGATATTTCTCTGCTAAAAAACTCCCTCAAATATGGAACAGGATAATAAAGTTAAAATGTAAGGTATCTACAGACCCCTTTTCCCCCAGAAGTAGCCCAGAATCCATGTACACTGTGCCAAAGTTACATTCCAAATCGAGGAGTTAACTGTTTCTCTTGTCACTCTCCCACTGGATTTCGTTTCCTTAAAAGAGCTGGGAGATGATGTCCACGTCACTCCCGGGAGGACACGCGTTCGGAGGCGTCTGATTCCTGCTGGGGCTCTGCAGCTTCAGTCGATCTTCACGGCGGCGTAGATTTTCCGGACGAACATGTAGGCTGCGTAGAAGCCGATGGTGCCCGTGAGGAGCCAGAAGGACAGGACCATGAGGGCAGTGTAGCCAAAGTACAGCAAGGAGGGAATGAACTCAACAATATCCAGCTAAAACAGAAGAGGAGGGGAAAAAAATGAGCAAAATAACGCACGGAGGCGACACGAGTCCCCAACCCAGCGCAGTGCCCTCTGCGAGGGGACCTTTGTGCCAAAGGGAGGATTAGTTTTCATCCAGCTGAACAGATTCCCTTCGAGGTGGGGTTGGGAACACTATTCCACACAAGTGATCTGGGCAGGGTCCCAGGGCACCTACACCTTCCTCTCCCCTCTGGCAGGGCTGTCAGCACCACTGGCTGCTCAGCTGCCTTGGGCTGGCACGGGACAGACTAGGACTCTGCAGTCCCACCATTTCCTTTCCCAAATCCCACAGTCTTCCCCAGAAAGGCAGCACTTTTATACAGGAGGAATAACAATACCTTGTTCACAAAGTAGAATACAGCATAGATCAGCACATAGAAGGCAGATCCCCCTGACACCAGGAAGGTCCTCCACCACCAGCGGTAATCCTGATAGGATAAAAAGCCTTATTACCCCACAGGCTTTCTTCTTCTGTGGGATGATAATCCTTCTCCTGTCTCAGAAGAGCTGTGACCATTCCAGGACAGGGAGAATATCACACATTTTCCTTCAAAGGAAACCCACAATTTGGGGTGGGGAACTGTTTTGTCACAAAAGTGTCTCCAAAGCAAGAGGACATGAAGCTGACAGTGAAGCAAAGCCAGGTCAGCTCACAGCACCTCTGGCCCTGCATTTGTTTTTTATGTGCATGGAATGAACCAGTTTCTTTGAGAAGAGACATCAGCTGAAAACACCCCACACCCAGCAGAATTCCTGGTATGAAACCACAGTTCCCAGCCTAACAGATAATCAAGGAGCTTCAATTCCCCTTGAAGCCAAGAGGTGTTGGGAGCAATCCCACCTGTGAAGCTGGGCCACACTAATTTCTGCTGAGCAGAACAACACGACCTGTGCTTTTCCAAGAGCAGGCACCCTGAGCTACCCAAACTACAAACATGGAAATCTCACCTCAGCACAGAGTTGGAAGTACACCATGACAATGCTGATCTGGGAGCAGGATACCACCAGAATTATAAACACCAGGAAGAGAAAGCCGAAAAGGTAATAGAACTGGTTCTCCCAGATTGCCTGAAACAAAGACACAGCAGGAATTTGTTTCTGTGCTACTGTGATCAATCACTTGAACATGGGACTAACTTCTGGCAGCCAACCAAGGGAAAATAAGAAGCCCCTCAGCTTCATGGAGATGAAAACACAGATCTAATCTGTCTCACAACATCACTTCAGAGGATTCAGGTTGCAAAAAGGTGCACAAGGACAGCTCTGAGGTAGCTTTTCATTCCCCTACACCTCCCAAGCAATGGAACAGCAAATTCCTCCCTGTCCATACAAGGTGAAAAATGGGCAGCAGCTGAAATGGT